CCCCCCCCCCCCCCGTAAGCACCAGTCAGTATTGTTTCAAAGGGGACCCCCTCCCCGCCGCTGATGTGAAACAAACTTCCGGTGGGGTCACCGGTCACCCCGCGAGTGGCCCCTCACACCTTCGTGAGTTACTATCTTGCAGCTGCCGCTTTTGGGGGCTCTGTCCTCATCTGTAGGGCCCGTTCTAAAATCAGAACCCAAATTTCCCCGATTGAAAACACGGAACGATGAAAATAAAACCCGGCCTTTTTTCCGCTGGTTACGTTCGTGATCTCATCGCAAAATATCTTTCCATCGCTGTATACACGATGTTACACCACAAAGGCTCTTGTTCTTGACACCACGTCGGAACTGAGCACGTGTTCTCATGACCAGGTTCTTACATTTTGAGTTTTTCGAGCCTGCATTTCTTAACTTCGAGCGAGCGCCATCTGTATTAGGTACTACCACATCGATCGCGTCTCCTTTCTTCCGGAAGAACTTTAGATGTGATTCTCGGTATTCCACATGTGGGAAGTACAAAACCACCGAAAATAATGCCCAAAGCACAAAGGAAAAAACTGCATTTCGCATTTGAACTCGCACTCCGAAACTCACCGAACGCGCTGAGAAGCAAGCAGCGAAAAACCATCCCTGCCGCAGATTCCGGTGTCTTAACCTGGCCAGCAAATACTGTAGTTCATCGACCATACCATGATTTGGACGCACCAAAACCAAAACTGCTGTTACCGTGGGGAATATCATACACCATTTGTTCACAGCTGTCCCAAGCAGTGTACCGAGAGTATGTTGCTGTTGTATCCACGTCAAAAAACGTTCCAAGAAGATACACATTTATTTGGAGCGAATTTGCCACGCTGGCTTTTGTGTTGGATGGTGCTCACGCGGGATGATGAACCCGACGGTACATACTTCTACAACATTATCCAGCGTGCTGGAAGACCAATCCCCATTCCGTCCCTCAACACAGTCTACCGTACAGCGAACCAAACCGAAAGAACCAACACGCATCGCTGCCGGGCCATCTCAACATGAATACCATTTGTTTTGCGCAGCCTCAGGTCACAGCAACTCGCCATCCGTAGCAAGGAGCGAAAACAACGCAGCTCAAAAGGAATGGTAGACAACCACGTTGGCACCGACGAAAGCAGTTCTTGGAGAACCAGTATAGCCCGCGCCTTGTGCATCCTACTCTTGAGGATGCACAGTGGTGCGGCCACAATTAAGAACTCCTCCACTGCCGAACAGAACGAAAGCAGGCAGAAAGCACGCCAGACGTATAAAAAATATGAGAGCCACACACATGGCTCCAAATAGGTTATAGCCCACAAAACACGCAAAACGTTCGACGCAACCCTATTATTACATGAGCGCTACTGAGCGTAGCGTTGTCGCAGGTCGCAGGTTTCCCACAGCAATACGCAACGCCACGGCCTTGTATAGTACTGTTGATCGTGGCGCGTCAAAACGCCTTCTTTTGTTGCCGGGGGGCAACACGGGAAACAAATGAATGCCTGACTCGCCTGCATGGACAACATGTCTTTGAGCTTGTTTGCCCTCGGTCGCTTTCGCGGATCTTGGTCCCAACACGAGGTGATGAGCGTTTCCTGGCCAACAGGACTCCCACGTGGGATCGGAAGACGGCCGCCATTGCCCACGTGAACTACAATCTTGTCCATGATGCGTACCTCTTCCCATGGAACCTTGAGAGTGAGCATCTGCCAACAGATGACCGCAAAGCTGAGCGGGAAAACACGCACAGACGGGAGGTAGGTGGTACGTCAGGGTTTTGCTGACGCACGGTACCGTATTGTGCAGTATCAACAAAAGTTTAAATACTTACGAGCGTTCGCCGCGGCTCGTTTTTCGGCGATACATGAACGTGAGTCTGCGGGCCTGGCATACTAGTCTAGCTCAAGGTTCAAGGCTATTCCTCGATGTGTGTATCTACCTGCTACTCGTGAAAAATACTAAAAAAAAAAAAAGGCGAGCAGCACGCAGATAGCTTAGACTACACCGGAATAAATAATCGCAACCAGAGGTTTCCGCTAGGATATACTCCGTTTATGCCTTTTTCGGTCTCCGTGGCGCAAGAAATCCTAATCCTCGAACAACACAAGTCGTACCTGAAGACATCACTGCATGATGTGCATTCTTGCATGTCCATCACCTCGGGAGCAGCCCACTCGTATGTCCAACCGCGCGGGGCTGTAGAATCGCCAACTGGCTGTTCATGCACCCAACTGGAAAGCCCGAAGTCCGCCAGCTGACAGAGCAAGCAAGCAACGAAACGACGCAGTCAGAGCGAATGCCGTTTGAAAAATGCATGTTTCGGGCTCGCCAGACCTATAATTTAGATAAAGCAGCCATGAATGTATTGGCTACGAAATTAATACCAGTCAAAGCAATTTCGGCTGGGTCTCTCGTGGGTGCATTGATATGGTGCGGACGGGCCCGCTAAAGCCATAGCACCAGTGGTCTGGGGAAAGGGGGCTAAGCACGAGGTTCTGCGACTGCAAAGAAAGGCTCGCCAAGAACGTCTGCACGTGGGAACGCCAGATGCCGGCCTGTTGAGATCGATATCAATAATATGGAGTAATATTTGTAATAGCTTTTGGTATCCCATTCCTTGGCCTTGTCATCCAAGTGTTGGTTTAGAGCAAACACAAAAAAAACTCCGGAGCACGAAGTAATTGTTTCCGGTGTCTCGTCTCACCTTCGCTTTTCCATCCCAGTCAAGCAAAATGTTGGCGGGTTTGATGTCGCCGTGAATCACGCCCTCCCCGTGCAGGTAGGCTACCGCGGCGGCTATGTCCATCAATATGCCCCGCTGAAGGTCGACGCCGCTGGCTAGCTCGTCCTGCCCTGTTGTTGCTGCTGCCGCCGCGGCAGCGCGTGCGGCGATGAAGCGTTCCAGCGTCCCGCCGTTGACGAACTCCATGATAATGATGGTCTGTGGTGATGGCAGTCCATGTGGAACGACAATCAATCTACAATCAACGTTGGATTGGCGTTCAGGATAGGCAAACAGGCGGGCGAGTTGTAAGGTAGCAAGAGAGAGGCTAGATACATAGTCGACACACCTTGCCTGACCACACGAGAGAGATGGGCAGACCCACAGCCCGAAGCCTAACGAGGAGTCAGGCTATCTGAAATACGTCTCCTATCGCCACGAGCATCAAGTTTGAAGGCAACCACGCCGACCGGATGGCGAGCCGAGACTCGGTTCGGTAGATTGGATTATCCTTTGAATAGTCTAAAATACCCGGTCAGTGCATAGTCACTGCCACAAAAATGCCCGATTAGGATTGCCGAAGACGCTACGGGTGTACGTACCTCCTCGACCAAACGGTACTGAACGATGCGGTGACCTACAGATACACAAGGGAGCAATGCGTGCGCACGCACGCACTGCTCCCAAAAATATGAGTTTTTTTCGCGGAAACAGCAGGATTTTCGGTTTTAGTTGTACACAGTACAATCGAGAAGCTGTGCGCACAAGTACTATGACTATCCATGTAGAAAAGAGGCTTAAACATGCTCCGTATCTGTGGTGGTAGCCCGCTCTGCTTGTTTACCCTGCCGTGACGTGTTTCACCGTCGTCCTCTCGCTGCTGTCGTCACGGTTTTCTGTCTCGTGGACACCTTGCTGTATCCAGTCGAAGGTGGGCTTCTCCGCCTGTTTGCCCTCAGCTAAAGCTTTCGTGTGTCTTGTGACGTGTGTGGGGGGGACCCTGTCCCGTCGCCTGCAACTAACTTTCTCGTGGTTCAGCAGTGTGGGGTACTTGAAAGCGTTCGTTTTTTGGGGTTCTCTGGAAAACCTGCCAAGGCTTATTTTGGTGGTTCGGAAACAACGCCCCACAAAAATAAAGCCAGTCCCAGCATCTTTTGGCGGCTACATGTATGTACGCACGACCGGCGTCGTTCGAGACCCTCACGTAACGGGCAAAGTGCAGACGAGCCCGTGTCCCTTGAGGGAAAAAAACACGAGATACGGTACAGCTGTGCCGGAGATACCCACCCAGGCCGTGTCCAAATTGACATGTATTTAGAGAATACAAGAGTTGATGTGTATAGTATTGGCACATGGAAACGATTGGTATTTTCGGTCTGACTGACGTAGTGAGCCATTCGCAGTCTCACAGTTACATAGCGCTCCCAAGGGGATCCCGTCGGACGTCCCTCATGCTGTTGCACATTACAGACAGCACAGCGGCATAAATGAAGGAATCGAAACGAACGGCTGTACATAATGTCCCGCTTGGTACAACGTTCGACAGCAGTTACGTCGTATTCGTGCTTTTTTTTTACGGTCTCGTGTATCGCGCCGTGCATTTGACTGACTCATGGGTGGAAATCCGCGCGTGCGCTTTGCCGGGTCATCGGCATGCCTCCTGAGTGAAGCCTTACACCAAAACATTGTCAGCATGTGTGTTACGCGGCCGGTTATAGCGGGAAGGGGGGAATTGCCGATGCTGTCGAAGTCAAACTGGAACACGCACCGATGTCCAGCATCTGTTGGGGATCATGCAGCCCAGGATTTCTGCTGACGTTGCAGTGAACAGTGTTGTCGTTGCATAGAACTAGCCCGAACGTTGCCTACGTTGCACAAGTGTAAGTCTTATACTAACATGCATGGCGAAATGTCTGAGGCAAGCGTATGACTGCTACGTCTGCACGGTCAGCTTCACGTCACCTGACTCGGCTGGTGGACTATGCCGTCTAGCACGTTCACGATATGCGGCGACTTAAGGCGCCGCAACGTCTCCACCTCGCTTTCCAGGGTCTTCTGGCGAATGGCAAACTCTTCGTCGTTGTCCTCGTAGTCTCCCATTGAAATCACCTTAGCCGCCGCGTTCATGCCCCTGTAGTCGACTAGTTTCACCTGCAGCAGCAAGGTTCGAGGGGGGGAAATGGCGAGGACCGAGGTCTTATCTAACACCATGATGATAACCTTTGACAACCTTCCCGACGGATTCGCTGTTGTCAATGGCAATGAGCGTGCTCCAAAACCCGCATTTGGTCGGTACACAGCGCCGGAGCTTGCGCTTTGGCCGGCGGCAGTCAGTGCACGCGGTGGCAAATCATCTGTTATCGTTGTCCATCCGCGCCCGATATTTTGCACGTGCGCTCCCACTCGCTCGCACCCAACCCGCGGCGAGACGTTTCAAGGAGGGAGTTTGGCGAAGGTTACCTACCATGCGAACAATTGTACGAGGATGACCATGATACTCCGGAGTATGATATTTTGACGGGTGCTGCGCCCGACCGATACTCCGGAGTGTGCTATTTGGACGGGTGCTGCGGCCAATCACGCCAAGCAATGGAAATCACCTGCTCGACGACAAAAACGTGCGTCGAGTTGGCAACAAAATATCACAAAAAGCCATGAATGAGTATCAAAGGACGGACCAACCTGGCCGAATGCTCCCGATCCCAGGAAGTCTCCCAAACCCAGAAAGTCCACGCGAAGCGGAGGGGTGTCGTCGTCATGCGAGGAACTCGAACGAAAAATATCTAAATATTTGGCCAGCAACATTTCCCGCTGCGCGTGAAAAACGTCGGGGCGAGGATTGTTAAGAATTAGTAATTGAACTGCCAACGCGTGCATTGATTGCCTGCCGGCCAAAAGCAAGGCAAAACCATTACTCACAAGCTCCATCGCTCTGTACCGACTAGGCACGGGTTTTGGATCATACTCATCCTAGCAAAAAACGTCGGGAAGAGTGTCAAGGGCTAAGATAGAGGCAAATACCATGAACTGTCAAGCCACGACATAAGGCCTGCTCGTGTGAAATAGGCGCTCATGTACCGTAAGGGCGCAGAATATGACATTCCACACGAATTGCTTGATGTATGGTAGGTCCCCCAAGCCTGACAACTGCCGAAAAGAAGGAAATATTGTTCAGACGTAGTCGGCACAACAATCTGAGGTATATTTTGAAATCATTTTCGAATTCCCCAGAGGCATTCCGTTCCCTGTGTTGGGAGGTACCGATGCAGGAAGGAGGACCCAAGTCCACGCTTTCACAGAAAGGTGCAGCAGGCACGAGAAGTAGCGTAGAAATTGAGACTGCACAGGAGAATCGAACACAGAGAGAAGCGCAATAACGCGGCTCCACTGTGGAAGCCAGGTTATACGTTTGTTCCTTCCTCCGTGAGTTACAGAGAATACTTTTTGCCAACGGTACGGAAGCAGCCAAGGCCGACCATAGCACAGCAAAGATAACCACTAATCTCTATTAGCACCCTACGACAAGGTGTTCCCAAGGCCACCCCCCAAAAGCGGCGGGCAGCCTTACATATATAGTCTATCTACAGCAGCCCCGTCCTTGCTGGCCTTGACGCAATCTTTGTGGGATCAACAGAGATTCTTGTCCAGCAATACACCGTAACCAACCGTCGCTATATACAATCCCCCTCTTTTCTAGAAAAGTGTGCTCGCCATCTCGTTGTACTGGGCACCCTCACACGTCGAAGCGTGCAACCAGTATTGACTCCACCCTCACCTCCCAGGGGTAAAGCGTGTCCACCGTGGTGCGATCCGTTTGCCATCCACCTAAGAAGCCAGGCAGCCAGCCCCCCTTTCGATGGAGCACGCGCATGAAAGTGTCGTTACGAAAGCTCTCCGCTGGCGGACTTTGCGAATATAATCCGTTTACTGTGTGTGTGGGGGGGGTACTCATGTTTTGCAGCCTTGGTTGTTAGACCATTGACCACGAGGACGGAGAATGTTTCCCGCGGGACGGATCGCCGATGGCTTCCCAACGCCACCCATTAAGGCCCTGTAAATAACACTTTTGTCGTTGAGAAATCGAGCCCTACAAATCGGCCCAAGGAAGGTGTTATCTTATGTCACATACGGTGGTACCGCCTTCCGAGGCCATCGAGATTTTTCATCCCGTCCGTGCAGTCTTAAGGATACGACACAGAATCCTGGTCACAACCTTTAAGGGGGGACTCCTAAAAAAGCGACCCACAGGCTGAGTTCTTACAGGCTAAGGTGGTACAAGGAGTGTGAAGTGGGTTAGATATTGACGAAGGGGAAACGTTCGACGCGGACAGCCTAGGGGGGCAGAAGAAGGGCATACCAGAGGATTTTGAGAAGAGAGCCGACCAGAATATACGGAAAGAGACCTGGGAAAAGGAGGCTCTAGAAGGGTACGGAAGGGTAAACGAAGTAAGAGGGTTCAAGGAGCCTTGAATGGACCAATGGATGAAGGGACAAAGTTGAAAGCAAAAAATAGGACGGGTGACATTGACCTCCGATAACGAAGACGGAGATTTAGGAAGATAGACGAGGACGACGACAAGTTCAAACGTGAATGTGGCACCACCGAGTTCTAAGACAGGATTCATGTAGTTGGGGAACGCCCGCTTTACGCTAAGGAGAGAGAAGTCAGTGTAGATGGCTGAGCTATGTAGGAAAATAAAACATGCCAGACAGAGGGGAGGTTTCAAGCATGGGACAAAGAGGAGGAGACGGTAGCGGTACTGGGGGTATAAGAAGTGGACTAAGAAGACCAGGGACTAGTAGACAGGTAGGGAGGGAAAATATTGTTGCACCACCTTTGGCAAAGTAGGAAGGAACGCCGTAGATTCACCGATACGTGTTGGAATCTGCCACAACGTGGAGAAATAGAGGTTTGAAAATCCGTCCAGGGGGTGTGGTATCTTGTGTCGCATATGGCACCTACACCGGTGATAATTACGTGATGCCGTCAGAACGCCGTACATACATAACCTTGTCAACCATCCCACAGATAGATTCAGATAGATTCAGATAGATTCGGGACCCCGTTTTCGGTTTTTGTTGATCACACAGCTTTATGGACGAGAACAGCGAGCCATCATGTATTCCACATTGATCGACTGGGAATGGGATGGAATACTTCGTGGTAGCACCATTGTGACCACGGAAAGCGCGCCGTCCCCCAACACCCCGAATGAGCAATAAGCGGTAGGGCATAGGTACTGACTCAGTGGAGTCGGAGTATTGTTTTTTGAACGTGAAGACAACACACACCATTGACATTTGACAGTCACCTTTGCCTTCGCTACGTCGTCGAGGCGCGATTTTGCCTCTTCCACCCGCTGCTTGTAGAGACAAGACTCCTCGCACTCGTCCATCGCCCCCTGTCGAATTTTGTGCTGAATGACCTGTGGCACCGCGGAGCGGAGGACAGCTCATAATTTTCTGCATCTCTTTGCTGTTTTAGATTTATCGAAGTGGTGGAAGCAAGTACTGTAGAGAGTAAGGAGGGGAAGTCGGCAAACAAACTTCCCAACCCCAACAACACAACACGCCACTAAAGGGTCGATTGAGCGAGAGAGACGCGAAGATAGATATAATACTACGTTTGGTTTTGTGTGGCACAATCCAACCTGCGGCGCGGAGGACACAAAATAAGTGGTGGAAGTAAGTAGAGAACGAGAAAGTGGAGTCGGCAAGCAAAACCCAACCCCAATACAAAAAGCTATTGGAGGGTCAATCGAGCGAGAGAGAAACCAAGATATGATACTTCAACACTAATGGACTACAGATTGGCCCTCCTGTGAGCAGGGGTCTGTACGCCAAGCTTGGACTACTGGAAGAGCTAATTTTGAAATTCAATGAAAGAGAGCCCCACCAGAAACGTTTGGTGCTGCTTAGACGCTAGAACTAGCCGCTCACGAGCAACTACAGCCCAAGACACTGCTCTAGTTTGACTACCATGGTGTCTGAGAGTCTTCGCATACCCTGGAAAGCAGCGCTGGATGGTTATATGTCACGTGTGAGCTTCGGGGCTTGAACTTGAGTTTTTGCTCCAAAAAAGCGGAGATTTCACGTACGCACTTCAATACACGGCGCGGTGCTGTGTGTCATCCCTACTTGGCCAATCGAAAAACGGAAACAACGAAATTTGGGCTTGTCTGTTGTAGCGTCAGATGCCTAAAATTGTAGCGATTGTGCGGATGCTACGGGGCAAACATTTTCCGTTTAATGTTTTTGCCCGAAAAAGGCCCGAAAATCACCAAAAAGCGTGCAGACCCCTCTGATATTTCACAGACTATTTCTGGCCCCTGAAATAACGCTTCTGTTGATGCAGCCTCCCACACTACTAGTTTCAAGTTATGGTTGCCACGGAGCCCCCCACGTATGACGAGCCTTCGCGTTTGAACCCCCCCTTTCTTTCCCTTTGGGATACAGCCCGGCCTTAAAGCGTTGGTCGAGCATCGTTTACTGGAAGAACACCGCGACTTTTTTACCTCTGCTAAGACCTTAGGCGTTAAGGGGTTGGTCGCATATCGCCTGCCTTAGTTGAAAAACGGTTACTTTCTTACCTCTGCTAAAGCCCCAAGGGCGCCGTCGAGCATCGACACCTCCTCCACGAGGCGAGCAGCCGGATACCCGTGGAGAATGTTCTCCGAGTTCTGTTGGGCAGGTTGATGTTGCGAGCGGCCAAGGTCCACAACGACAACGAAAATGCAGTCTCTATTTATCATTAGTCGCTGTTGTCGGTGGCTACCACACTAACTAGCTGACCCAAAGCTAAAAGCCCGTGGTCACAAACCGCACCATGACGTGCGCTGGTGATTGAACGCACGACGTAAGTCCACTGTGAGGGGGCTCGAGCACGGGTGGTACCTTCAAAAGTACTGGACTTCAATATATCATAGACTTGGGATGCGATCCAACTGGCTGAAATGGCGGACCCAAAAACGCTATCCACAACCAGTCATCCACCCGCAATGTCGACTATTGTCACTTGGTTACTCGCAGACACCGACGCACCCTCTGGTCGCACGTAGGCTCTGTGACGCGCAGTACACGCACATGGCAGTTAGACTCCATTTTTGTCCAGCGTAAAAATACCCAATTAAACTCACCCTCAGTAGCCCATGCTGCCGTAGATCGTCCACCAGCGAAGCCAATGGTTCGGGCCACCTAACTCCACTGTTTTGAGCTTCTGCCTGTAGCAGCTGCAGTCTCGAAGCATGTACACTCATGTCGTCGGATGAGCTGTTATTCACAAATTCTACCGCGGCGGACCTCAAGGCTCCACCAAAAAGATCGGACAGAGACTCCGAAGACTCCGAATTTGCGTCCAAGTTGTCTGAACTCCTAGAACGCGGAAGCGCCACATCTTGTACATCCTGTGCCGGCACAGCGTCAGCCGGTTCCGGCAGGACGTCATCCTGTGCCGGCAGGACGTCAGCTTGTGCCCGCAAGGCGTCCTCCTCTGTCGGAAAGTCCTCGTCAGCGTGTGCCGACCTCATCCTGTGTCGGAAAGGCCTCATCAGCTTGTGACGACCTTTGCGTTCCTGGACATTGGAATCGAAAGAAAATCGTGTGGGTATGTGTGCCAAGGAAAGCTTACAGTAAAGTGTGCGTATGATAGCACTCACTTCTGATATACAGTTTGTGGCGTTGGTCGCCTACCGGTCTATTTAGAACAACGAATCACGCTCAATACGGTAGGGGTATCGAACGAGCGTTTGGTGCCAAAGTCACGAGCAAGAACGGAATGGCGTCACAACTCCGTTCTCGCGCGCTGACTCATTTTTCGGGATTGTATCACGCAAGTATTTAGTCCCAACGGGGTGAAACTTCGCATGCACGACTATATATTCAGGCGACGTCATCTGATAATCTCAACGGGGTGAAAACCCGCGCCTGGAAGGGGCGGGCCGACCGCGCATTGTAAACCATGATGCGGCATGGCACGTGACGTACGAGCTGAGCGGCCCTGGGAGGCGCACGGCGATCTTCTGCCTCGGCACATCCCCAAAACAATTGCCCAAAGGCGGGAACCAATCACGACACCTTGTAGCTGCGTAGTAGGTGACGCCCGAGCCCAAGCAAACATAGCGCGACCATAGTTGTGCGGGGTGACATCCAGCAGACGACGATCAGCCAACGCACCGGCGACAAGGCAAACTGCATGTACGTGCAAAACAAAACAGCAAAAAGTGGGCGTGACGGACGGCGAAAATCGTACTTTTGCATGTGTGGGTTAACCTGTAATCGGCAGTTCCTGGCACCGGCTTCAGAAAATTACACACAGACATCAACCGGCTTCAGAAAACTACCCATGTTACGCCAGGACCGTATACATCAGCTCGCTGCAGGAGCAGCTCTCGCAAGGGTTCAGAACGACAACCAGCAGCTTGGCGGCATCAAGCGGACATTCAACGACTCTCTCCCTCTAACACCAGGCCCGCGTGGCTGTAGTCGTGAACAAAATACGAATTGCGTTGGAGTGACGATCCGCAGCAGCGGCGAAATGCTCAGACGCGCAACAACTGGAGGGTCCTTTGCCAAGGCGTCCGAGTTAGCACCAGGGCGAGCTTGTCCGAAATGGACATCGTTTGTACATACGGTCTAAGGCGGTACATACGCCATTCATTGTAGTGAACTGACAATTCAGACAGCTAAATCGTGGTCATTGTACGTCGGTACTTGTTGAAACATGTACATGCACGGAGTATTCAACAACGGCACGAGAGATGAGAGGAGTGCATGGATAAACAGATCGATAGATAAATGCTGACCCTATGATATTCTATGATGGTGCAGATAAATTGATCGACCTGCGATCAGGAAACCAGAAAATAGGCCCAGCCTGACTTTCTCGTTTGGGATCCGAAAGAACCCTCAGATTCTCACATCTTTACATATGGTTAACGCCAAAGAGCCTCCATGCGTTCATATTGTCCCCACATTTCAGCCTCCGTTTCTTCCTGACCACACTCTTGATAGCGGGCCGATATTGTATCGGCCTGCTATCAAGAAAATAGACTGCTCAAGCTCTAGAACGGAACGGCGCCTCCCAAACTGTACGAGAGTCGATAGGCGCGTCGATCGCGTGTGTGTGCGCGCACTGACCCCGACAGCATTCGCGTCAAGCTTCGTCTTGCCCTTCGTTGTAAAAAATGGTGTTGGTTTCCGAAAACTTCTTCGTGGGTGGGTATGATATGGCTTTCTTCGTTAAACTCGTATGTACAGCACTCACCCACTAGTAAGGAACACGAGTGACAACGTCAGGTGAGATTTGCTTACAAATTATAAAGACCAATACCTCAGAGTCCAGCGCCACACTAAACCCTTAACAATGGTTGGTCTAAAATAAGAAACTCAGCCTTATGTTGCTTTGCCGTTTCTTGCTAATCGCCCCGTTCTGTGTATGTATGAGCTATGTCATTGAAAATACAGTATCTACCTGATGTTCTGATATGGTTGTTTCTCTGATTCGCTCTGCCGGTTGGTTCTCATAGAGAAAACAGTGTTCACCATTTAGGCTGCTGCCGCCCCATGTGGTTAACTGGTGGGTGAGAGCGCTACATGATACTCGCACCTGAACGATCATTCCCAAGAGGCAGGTATCCACGGCAAGCACATACCCGAACCTCGAGCTCGGCGACAGCAGCAGGGATGATATCACCAGTAATCCCGGGGGATTGTGCGCAAGGTAGATCATCGAGCCGATGATGTACACACATCGCCAAAAAACTCCCAAGGACCGCTCAATATTGGATTGTCGTTGCTCCCCGCACTGTACCAGCTGTAACAGTTTCAACAGTGGTCCCGGCAACATGAATGCGAGACCCAGAGCGAACAGTAAGGCTCTACTTGCAAAATCTCTTTCCCCTGTGTTCTCCTCGTTCTCTCCCCATCGTTGTTCCAGACGATCCTTTGCGGCGCGTGCAGCCCTCGCGTTGAGGACGGCCGTGGCAAACACGCCACACACCATGGCCTTTTCCGTCGAGCGTAGGCTTGTTGCTACAATAGGGAGAAATCTCGTGCAGAGAACCGAACCCGTCGCCAACCCCCAGGTGGGCCCCAGCGATCCAGCCGACCACAGTATCTCCTTCTCGAAGGCGATGCTGTACGCGTGTCGAACAGCAGTAGTCGCGAGAAGCAACGATGCGACCGTAGGTAGAGAAATCCAAGACCAGGGGGATGGGTCCCAGTAGCACTCCTGCCGCATTTGCACCATGTTCCAAACGAACATCTGGCTCGCGAACGAGACTCCCACGGCAGCACACCTACAGAGTAGCAAGAAAGTGATGCGAGGTATGGGGAGTGAGTTGGCCGAACGACCGTGCAAACAATCTATTAACAGCTCGCTCGCGTCCGGGACAGCTAGCTGAGCCCCACATGAGTGATACATCGTAACTTGTGGCGTGGCCAAAAGGGGGGACCACATGAACGCCGCAATTGGCATCCACTCCAATGCGTTGATTAGCGAACCTTTCCATGTCTGTCTAAGCAAGAACCAGAAATCAGCCTGACGCAAGCAAGCAAGTTTGTTGCCGAAGCTATACTCGTTCACAGCTTTGACCTGTCGACGCAATATACTGATGCCCCAACAAAGGTGTGCGAGCGTGGAGTAGAAAAAGAAACGCAAACCTCGACGAGTGTGCAACGCGTACCATGAAGCTTTACACAGCAGTATTGGCCCGCCGTCAAGAAAGCGGCCGTGAAGAAAATGAGGCTGAAAGGTGGAAAAATAAGAAAGCGGCGAGCCTCTGCGCCGTCAACCCAGCAATCCCACTGTGCCAATTCAAAACACAAGTGGGACGGTTATCAAGGGTAACACATAAGAAAGTCAGGCTGGGCCTATGCATAGTTTGGTTTTTCTTATGACAGGCCCATACTGAAGCTACACTCATCCCCCAAAGGGCAGGTCCTTGCGGACCGTGACGATTTGTCCCCATACTTCATACTTGTGTTTGTCTGTGTTCCAGTAGTAGTCCGGTACGATAGGTTCACTTCAACATGTACAATGTCTCCGGTTGGACTTCATTATTGAAAAACGTTGCTGCGCTGCAGCGCCAAATGTTGCCGTTCGACGGCTTCTACATCTGCGTTCACCGGTATGGCGTGTAGTTTTTTTTCTTTCGCCCACGGGCTGAGCGGAATTTCTGCAGCTCCTCCAGAGGGTTTCTCGCTGTCCAACTCAACAGTGTCTCGCGCTGCAAGTGGCGGAAGGCCGGCCTGGGACAAGCAGCTACGACCAACCACCACACCTTCCCCTTTCCTGCTTCTGCGACCAACCAACTCGCGACCTCAAAGCCAGGCAGTGCTCATCTGCCTACTATCTGTCTGTACGTCTGCGTGTTTGTGCTGCTGACGGCGGGTGGCCTTGGGAGTTTCATCATGTGGCACAGCGCCCGCAGGGTCTCCCACATTTCTACAGTTTTGCTAAACCACCCACGGGGCTCCCATGGGCTGCCCATAGGCACCACGTTTTGCCCATGGGCTGCGCATGGGGAATGCCCACGGGCAAGCCCATGGGAAACCCGGGGGCAGCCCATGGGCAGCCCATGGGTGGTCAATGAGTGCCCTTCAACCGGAACCAATGAACTCCTAAGCAACCATAGATAGATTATAACAGCAACCAACCCTATCGCCAACCCTAGCCCTAACTCCAAGCCCACAAGATACGTGCTAGCCGGGTGGCCAAGTTCTAGGTTGATGTGCCGATGACCAAGTTGTAGGTTGATATGCCGGTGGCGAAGTTCTAGGTTGAAGTGCCCATGGTGGGCAACTCGTGGGCAGTTCATGGGCTACCCATGGGTGTCCCATGGGCGATTTAGCAAAAACTTAGCAAAAACTGCCAGTAGTGTGGGGGTTGCGCCCGCAACCACGCGTGTGCACGATTTTTTTTTCTCGAAAAAGCTTTGAATAAATAAGTGCAAACAAATTGCCAAAGGGTTGCCAAACACGCACGCATGAGAGTATCACGAGCCGCAAGAGGGATGTCGGTTCCTCTCCATTCTACGTTAACGCCCAACCGGCATAGACAGTTGTCACGCATGGCTGAATGACTGTAGGAGGAGGGGCCGCGACTTTGGCTGTGCTGTATCTTGCTCGGTCAATTTCTTTACTTTTTCGCGTTCACATAATTACGCTGGAAAATTGGCTGGCCGCCCCCCTCTTCACGGCAGATGCAACTTCTAATTTTCAAGTAGGATGAACTCTTCATCACGGCACACAAACACTCGACTGCATCTAAAAATTTTCCAGAAAATTGTCCGTATGTACCGGAGTGCTGACGTACGTGGACTCAAGCCCGCGACCATCAAGTACGCACAACATTCCACCCACTCCTCGATCTGCAATCAAAACAGGTCCTACGTTTGTTATTAGAGAGCTTCACCGTTTATCCAATGCTTGCTGTTGCCTGCGGTCTCTTACATCTATTCATGCGCATGCTGGCTTCAGTTTTGGATTGCACACATGGATTATGTTGGCTCGTTTTCGACTTCGCAACGTTTTGCCTCCTGTTCTCTCTACCACATCAGAGATGTGCTGCAATAATAGTCATATCTGTGAGACCGCAAACTACGTGTGTGTGTATGCTTTTCCTCCCTCTGTGTGCGCACACGTGCATACAATACCCTACCTCCGCACTTCAGCGCTCCAGCAACACTATCTCATCCCGTCACAAACGTCTTTCATTCACATCTACTTTTGAATGTGTTTTTTTGCACCTTGACTTCTTTGTGCGACTCAAATCCCGACGGTACAAAGATGACGTATCATCGTACTAAGCATGCACATGCATAGTCTATGTATCATCGGAGAGCTTCTCTACGAGTCAAAAAGTAATATAAAATCTGTTTGACCCGGCAGAGATGTGCAGGGTTCTTATTAATACTGAATCCCAAAAAAGCAGCGTTCTTATTCCCGGTCGACATACCAATCTCTTTGTGAAGAAGTCCCGGTCGACATACCAATCTCTTTGTGAAGAAGTTAATACATCCCACGGAGCCAGTCCATCTCGGGGAGTGTTCTTCCTTTTTTTGTGTTTCTTACTCCTTTTTTTCAAAGAAAGACTACACCCAAGGGTTACCTTGCGAAGGTGGCCTCGCCGTAGCGGCGATCGAGCGAGTAGAAACGGGTGTAATGCGCCTTGAAGACCTTGAAGCAGCGGGTGGTCTTCCCCACGCGGGTAACGAGCATCTTGCACACGCTATCCACGCTCTTCACCTCGGACCTGAACGATTTTGTTTTTCGGTGCCGTTGAGTGCATCCGTGTAAGAAAAGGGCAAGGGCGGTACAGTCCATTCAGTAATTAACTGCTTGAAGCTGGTGTTTGGCAAACACACAGCTAGAACACGCTACAAAATCCGCTACTACCGCCACCACCACCACCACCACCACCACCACCACCACCACCACCAAATTTACCAAACCCAATACCGTCACTATCGAACAACATTTCGAGAGACCAAAACGACTTCGGAGTACAAGAAGAAGCGTATGTTGCATGCTAACCCTAACCCTAACCTATACAGCACAATACTAATAGTAATGCCGTATGTATAACGGAAGCAAAAGTACGTGCTCGTAATGTAGAGGGAATGAGAACATATGTTTGCAGACCGAGAGCCTACATATCAAAATCAACAAACCGACGGTGAACCCCTGGGTCACATTTCGTGCGCACAAAAGGTGTTTTTTTTTTACTCCTTGGTGACAAATCGCTCGTTTTTTGCAGAGACTTTAATATTTCGATTGAGCTCATATACATACATATCCCGTACTTCGTATACTTACATGTGTTGGGGATTGATCTCGTAAAGGAAAAGAAAAACGGGTGATGGCTGCTCCCACCGAAGCAAACGCCGTGGGAACAAGTACTCGGCCGAAAAATGGCCCAGGTTTGGGTTTGACTTCGCCCCCATGATACCGAAAAATAACGTGAACAACTCGCCGTTTTGATGTTTTATTTTGATTGATTACTTTTGGGGGTCAACCCCCAAAACCATGACAAAACAATTGAAGGATGGGGACTTGCCTTTGGAGTAGTTGGTGGCTCTTTTTCTGAGACCTCGTGCAACATTCATGTGGAAACCGTCGAAAATAGGGCCAATGTGTCGGCCGAGAAACGTTTGTGTCCAGGGCATTAATTTGGGTGGAGGAAAAGGTAAGAACCGTTGCAATTTGTTAATCGCCTTCCTGGGGTGGTCAACCTCACAAACATAAAATATATAATGCTTTAGACGAACACAAACACAATTTTTAGACTCTGATAGTAACCCTCTCCAATCCCTCATAAAACGAGTTTACGTTTTTTTTTGTGGGACGGACCGAGGAATGAAAAATAACCCTACCAGTCATCGATCCATGACATCTACCGAACGTAGACACAATGGAACTACATGCCAGGAGTGCGCGGCGCCAATATAATAATTGATTGCCATCTGTTCTATGAAGGCGTCTGCCATAGGACTCTGAGAGCAGAATTTCAGATGCCACTACGTGTTCTGTCTCGGTTTTTTTCCCAACTGGTTGTATCCGTGGTGTGTTGCTCTTTAGCTACTTGTTTGCTGCTCACCCGGCGAAGATGAAACGGTCAAGCGCAGGACTTTTGTGCGCATCCTGATGTTCGCGTTCGGTCGCCAAATGTCTTTGGTCCACCCGCATCGACCCAGACTCATCGAGTAGCATTCCATCGGCGCAGACGCGGTCACCGGCCCTGAGTTCGAGCACGTCTCCAACCACAATATCGCGGGAACGAATCTGCCAGGGGGCCGCAGGAAGCAAGAAGACGTACACAGCAGTCAGTATCGGCCAAAGCGTAAGAAGCACCTTCACAAGAAATCCGGCCCCACATAAAAATAAAGTAAGAAATTCGGTCTTTTACTACAATAAGTGTGGGCTCAGTGGCAGGCACTACACAAAACCCTATACAAGATCCTGTGGTTGGTGGCGGGGGACAACATATGGTTTCGAGCCCCGGTCAAAATCGGTGGTTCTTATGAGCGAGCCGGTACAGTATAATTGTAGGCGACCTCGCAAGGAACGTTCCATCTGTCGGGCAAACAAGTGGTATCACACGGAAGTTATACGAAGTAGTACAATCTGAAATCCGGCCAGTCATGTGGTCGCCACGAAAAAAGACTCTTGCCTTTTCGCGCAAGGATCGAGGCTTCTCTTTTCCACACCACTACACACCGGCTATTATGGTAGGGTTTAGTGTGGCGTGGGCGCTGCGCACTTGTTTGTTCGTTCAACTTCCTACAAAAAAACAAGTCGAGCCTGAATTTCTTATCTGCCTGTTTCTTTAGTGGTGGCCGCATCTGTGTGCAAGCTTGCAAGGTAGTACTTTCAGCGCCTACTGCACTGACGTAACGTTTCCATACCTAGAGGAAACTAAACCAGTGACATCGAGTCCACAATGCGATGAAAATCGAGAGAAACTGGGAGTATCTATTGACTAAAATGCTTCACGTATGCAAATAGCGATCATCTGCCGTTCATTCTAATGAGAAGGAGGCACACACGCGGCTGTTTAACGTACCATAATTGTGTTGCCGTCGCGTCGAGCTCGCAGCATTCCGGCAGAACCGAACTTCCTGGCGATCCTATTCCTCGATGTTGCAAACGCATCCAGGGAGCGCTCGTTGAACGTAGCTTTGGCGAGCGCCATGAGTGGCACCCCGATCGCAACGGCTGCCACGACCGAGACGGCCACCCACTTTGTTTCGCAGCAGGAGCATTTGAAACACAGCAGGCGTGGGTAAAGTGAGATGTGTTGTGTGTTGTGAGGGAGTGAGTAAGCGAGGGGGGCGAGCAGGCACTACTGCTGTACTGCGTTTTTCTTTCTGCTATTACGTACTTTGAAAGTTCGAGCTAAAACGGTGTGTCCCATGCTTAGCTTTCGTATGAGGGTCCGGCAGCAGTTTGTCCGCCCGACCGAACTTGCTTACCCCGCTGTGCAATGCGGAGCGCTAGTTATTCGTGTTATACAGTGAGAGAATACCGAGTTTGTGTGCTCCTGGGCAAAGCTATTAATCGTGATTAATTACGTGTGTCACACAGGGTAGAGACAAAGAGAGACGGGCCGAGAGAGAGAGAAAGTGATCTCGAAAGGCACACACATAACCGAGGATGTCCTGCAAAGAGTCAAATCAGCGTAAATACCAATACCCTCTGACGAACTGACTCGAAACCATCAATGCTGAAGAGTTACGCCATCTGCCAACCTACAGAGCCTGTGCGCAAAGTGATCAACGCTGTCGCAAGAACTCTGTAGCAGAAAAACGCAGACTGTTATGTGTGTTCTCTCACCGTAGGTGTGTTCTCCATGGATGCTGAACTGATTGCAGCAAACACGGCGACGACGTAGTTGATCACAGCAAGGCGACCGTCAGCCTTGCACCCCCAGAAAAGTTCTGCGGCATCCCGAAACTCAGCTACGTCCGGCATGAGGTTTCTGCCGTACTTGTCACGCTTTGTCTTTACCTGAAGACGGCACGAATCGGCAAGGAACGGACGTGCGTGCTTTCACACGCAAAATATTATACGTGCAAGTACCATGCAAGACAACTTCGCTGGAAAGACTTGGAACGCCCACACACAGGCAACACGGCCGTAGAGATAGCCCAACATACCATGCCTTGCATTGACTGGTATATACTCCGTATGAGGTGCGATTCGCAGGTGATGGCAGCTCAAACAGCTCGAATTCCCAGACATCCTTAGGTCGGCCGCCACCGGTGGCACAAATGTCATACTTGGTATCATTTTCAACCCGCGTGAACTGTTCAAAAGAAAACGGAACAATACTACCAATTGGTGAGGCAGCAACCTCTAGAAAACCACTTGCTGTTGTATTCCATGTCATGGGGGTGATCTCACGTAGTCGGTGGAAAGCCCGGTGTCAAGGTCCACGTTCAGCTTCTCCGCCAGTCCCGCGACATCGTTGAACGCGGACGTTAGCTCCTGTTCGTTTTTTGCTGGGTCCTGAAACGGGATGGCATATATCAAATTACATTGCGCCACGCTTAAACAACAGCTAGGGCAAGGTCGTCGCCTGCCCCTGAGGCTGGACGGCCACCGAAATGCATTCGACGAGGAAAATGACACACGAAACCCTACTGCAAAATTATTCAACAGTCCCACTGGGTCCCGTATAAGGTGGGTGTTATTTTCATGGATGTTTTGATGATTTGAAAGAGGTAGAGTTGAAGGAACTCCGTTAACCCACGTGTAGAGATTAACGCTGAACCACGTATATTATGACCCACCACACCACACAAAACGGAGAGTCCAAACGGCCGAAAACTCTATTTTTTTGCCACAACAGGAGACAGCACCTATATATACTAAGCAGATCTCGCGCCCTGGGACACTAATCAATCGAGACCACAACTGTTGAAGAGTGTCCTCCAGCGTTCTCAGGTTTGCCACGGAAGTTTTGTGGGCATGAGGCTTTGACTCTGGTGAGATTTTGACGGCGGTGTTGGTTGTGGTAGGAGAACGCGATGAACGAATATAATGTTTCCAGCCTGTCTTATTTGCAAGAATACAGGCGAGACTTATGTTAACTGTCATATACTCTACACGACCAACCTGACAACACTAAAGCACACGCTTCAACAGATTTGATCACGAATGGTAACCCAGGGGCTGTAACCCAGGGGCTGAGTTATGGCTGGTGCCGTCGCATGATGTGCCCCACACAGTCGTTTGGGGGGGGGGGTCTCTGGTTTGGTTTGGGTAGGGGATCAAAAACAATCCGTCGATCGTGAGAAACAGCCTTACCGGCATACTTTTTAAAAGGAGCTTTGATCATAGTCAACACCGTCGAGATATGGCGAAAGACCCAGGACGTTGCGCTCATTTTGAAGGAGATGTCGCAATCCCACCATTTTGCACTCGAGACGGCGCGAGAAGGACGGAGTGAAAAACGACAAAACACATATAGAGCTTGGGCCCACAAATGTTGTGGGTTGAAGGGAAAAAAATGTCTACAATGCCCCTCGAACAACAGCGGTGTACGTGTGTGTAGGTGTGTGTGCGCGTCGTGCGTGTGTTTCTTGGGTCGACCGCGCTAACCGGCTGACTAATGAAAATATGTCAGTGCTCAACTAAGAACTGAGAACGTTGCTAAATCCAATACTTGCCCTATGTGAATGGGACGTAGACTTGGCACCGGACTGAAACGAAAATATCGTCAACAGAAAAACGATGTACGTGTCTACTTCTCTTTCGTTCTCTACAGGCTGCTGTTCGTTATTTGTGCTTGATCGTCGTTTCACGATTGTTCCTACTACTCTGCGTCGTGTGCCGACTCCAGGAGCTCGACCGAGAAGGAGAACACCGCTCTTAATGTGCTTCATCGACCTACACAAGGCCCATGACTTGGTGGACCGAGAGCTGCTGTGGAAGGTACTGGCCAGGGTCCGTATTCCCAAGGAGTTGGTCGGCATCATCAGCAAACTCCACGACGGAATGCGGGCCCGGGTGCGCATGGACGACGGAGAGCTATCGGACTGGTTCCCGGTCACGCATGGCCTGCTGTTAACATTTAACGTATTCTTCGCCGCGGCCCGTGCGATTTCAGCGAGAATGATGTTATTATGCAGAACTTGATACACCTGGCAGAGGAGACGGGAGCGGGGGCGAGGACATCAATCCACTGTGTACCGAGGGCGGCGTGCGGGATGCTGTATGCCGACGACACCCGCGTTGTTTCGAGGTTAGCCGTCAGACTGGCGAGGATGATGGTCGTTATCGTGGACGTGTTCGGGGATGTCGGCCTGACGGTACCGGAGAAGAAGACGGAGACCCATCAACATACATGGCGACCTCACCCGGGAGATCAACCACAGGACCAGAGCAGCGTGGGCGTGCGTCAGGAGATATGGTCCCGAGCTCTTCGACAGGCCGAGAGCACCGTTTCGACTCAGTTTCCGGACGGGCAACTCCCGAAACGACTGATGTTCGGGGAACTGGTAGGGGGGGAGGACCCGGGCAGGGGGTGTCCGGAGCATAGCTGGCTGACGTGCCTGAAGGACACCCTCAAGGCGTTCGGGGCTGGGCACACGGCTTTACGGACGGCGCGAGGTGTACCTTCGGAGTCCCAAAATTCATTTGGACGGAAGCAGCGAAGGTGAAGGGGGAGTATCTTGGCGTGCAGGGGTTTTGATGGGAGTGAAGAAGTACATGGACTCACGGCACAAGGACGAAGAGGAGGCTAGCCGACAACGAGCGACCAAGCACAACAAAGAGCCCCGAAATACTAGAGATACGGCAACAGCCAACGGGGCGGCGGACCAGAAGGAGGACAAAATGGCGAGGGAAGAAAGGAACGGAGAAGAGGCGGACTGGGTGGCGCGTCATGTGCCGGATCGAGTTTCTTGGACAAGTTTTTCCCCTCCCCCGATCGATGCACCATTGCACCACCTCCCCAGGAGAAATGACAAAAAAAATTGAAATCAATAATATATTTTTTTAAATCCCAAAATTTTAAAACTTTTTCGGGTAATGTGTCCGCCGCACATATGCATACTCCGTACATATGCGTACCACACTGAAAATACGTTTGAAAACTGAGGGAGATTGCATGCCCTACGACTAACAGGGTGCCACACACGAAACGCCCGACTACCCAACAGTACCCAACACCTTTCTGCTGCACCTTCCCAACAGAACATATATGAGACACACAAGACAGCTACCAAACTGTTTCGTTGAGCCTGTTACCCGCAGGTGAGATGTCCCTATATGCTGTCTGGGAAATCGTAGACATACAGGTAGCTTTTTCTGAAGCTATGAATTCATTGCTAATCTGTCTCTGACTCTTTTCTATAGATAGAGATGGATTCGTTGTGTCATAATAAGAAAAATAATAAAAAAAAAATCGGGTTGTTTCTTTGTCTTCGTATCTTCTTTTCATTTCACCTTTCTCTGTCGTTGACTTTTTTTTCAGTCGCACTATTACTGGAATGCCGGGGATACGTTGGTACTGCTGTAGCACGGTGTCAAAATCTCCTTCCTTCCATACAGAACTCGGTTTGTGAAAGTGTATTTGTAGAAGATCTGATTCCCTACCCGGCGTGCCCTTGCCCTACAGGACCTAACCTTGTAAAAAGCATACCTTCACAGAGCCAGCGAGTGTCTCCATCACCCATGGTCTCGTCGCCCAACCGCTTGATATAGACGCTCCCATCGCCACCAGAAGCACCTTGCCACGGCGGAAGGAGCAGCAGCGAGGGTCGTTGTCGTCGTTGTTGTTGTTATTGTAGTTGTTGTCTTCACAGTAGTAACAACCGCTACGATCTCTCCATCCAGCTCACAAACAGAGATAGATGACAGAGCGAGTTGGCAAACGAAGCTGTTGTGTACGTATGTTTGCATTCAATCTGCCGTGTTGGTTGTGGCGGGTGTTGGTTGGTGAACTGGTTGTTCGGCCAATTTTTTCGGTTAGTTTGTTGTCACGAGCTGGGAGACAAGAGATGAGCTAGCTGTACACCAACACGCTCTACGCACCACGATTGATGATGCATGTACTGCTGTACACCTCTCTACACGTGTGCGAGGGTCCAATGTGCGACCTGTGCCTTCCCGGCCAATCAATCTGGTCACCCATCACACGCATTTTGTTGAGTTGCCTCTCAGAGCACGGGTTGACTGACTGAGGCAGAGGGTGATGAGTACCACCCCCACTCTCTTTGTTAATCACACTTACTTGCGCCCCTCACACCTCAACACTGCCGAGTGCTAAACAGTCACTGCTATAATATTGAGGAATATAATAAAAACACACACAGAAAGACTACCCATTCGATATATACCCACAGCAGTCGAACGGGATGTGGTGGAGTCTTTTCAGTGAGTGGAGGAAAACCGGCTGGGTACTGGACTTATTTCTTATTTCGAGTCTTTTTATTCTATACACTGACTAATGATTTATACCAGTGATGCCAGTTTCGTGACTGGGTTCTTTCTGGATCTTCCGCGTTTTTTTTGTTCTGCCGGGACCGAATAGACCGATGAGTCATGAGACACACACACACGACACCCGCACTTGAACGTTTGCACGTTTGTTTGCGCACCAACAGGTTCCCACATGGGTCAACCGCACGCACCCCATGGTGCCACAAAGGTTTAGTGCCCAACAGCAGCGTAACCCTCACGTGAAGAATGTGATGAGTGACCGATAACTACACTGACTGCTGTACTGCTGTATGTAGGTGCTGTCGGAAACCGGAGGAGAGAGAGAGGAGAGGGCGCCGTATTTCTTTACCCCAAACACGATTACATGGTGATAGTCTACATGGATACAGCAGCAGCAGTAGAGATACATCGCATGCACAGCAGTTCTACCCCGCCGCCGATGCAGCACACTGGCGCAAGGCATGGCACCGCCTCCAATGCCACTTGGTTGGGTGGTAAATCCAGCGGAGACAAGAAGCACACACGCACGCGGTTTGTTTGTTGGATGCATGCATGCGAAACGAAATGAAAAAGCACCAGCAGCAGCAGCGGCAGCCCGCCGCAGCAGCAGCAGCAAGCACGAGCCGCGCGAGA